TGTTTTCTAAATGTTGAGGTCATGATAAAAAAAATAATAATATTGTTGTCAGTATAACCACACAGGAGTCTATGATTTCTATTTATTCCATTCTAGGTACTCAAAAGCAGCAGTGACATCCAATGCAACAGTTCCCGAGCTAATCTTGTTCAGCTCTCCGGGTTATTTGAAGGAGCAGGTTCTGCAGTGGTCCGCTGGTAAGCACAGAGCTGAAACGCACCTGTGAGAAAAAAGGACTTTATTTTATCAGAAAGTTAAAATGTAATACATTTGTAACTTGGATTTGTAACTTTGTAACAAAAGTAATAATATAGTTTTATTATTAAATCACTTCATTTCAAAAAAATCTATCTCACTATGACCAAAGAAGAGAAGCACAGGTTTGTTACAAAGGAAGTTGTGGATCATTAGGACTGCAATTTTCATATGGTAGCTATGGGCTGCTCAGGCTGTTTTGCCACTGCACAACACAAAATGTTTTTTTGATAGATCCCAGATGCACAATACAATATCTGGCACAACCACTTAAAGTGTGTCTATGAAGATTCTCAGTCATCCAGGTCATAGTTATCTGCATATATCTCTGCTATATGATTTTAACCTTCGTTGGATACACTTAAAGTGTGTGTCTACTCGCTTTTGAGAATGGAGATCCATGTACAGGTTTTCTTATTGAACAAAGAAATGTTACAATGCACACCTTTGGATACTCTTATCCAGGCGGCTGACAATGGTTGCAGTCCCTGCAGTTCACTTACAATGAACAGTTTTACTTAAATAAATAAAAATACACACATTAATAAAAATGGTAAATACCTGCTGCAAAAGCCAAAATGATGGCAACCCAGCCGATGATGTAGGACCAGGAAAAGCGCCAGTCCAAGAAGCGTTTGCCAAAGAAAGTGACGGTCACTCCGGTGTAAATTGCCAAAGCCAGCAGAGCAAGAAAACCTTGAGAATGGTGGGTGAGAGTTAATTTTTGAAAATCCACTTAGTAAAACATGAAAAAATTTAGATTAGATACATGTAAGACACTCCCACCTCTATAACCTGTCAACATACTGTATTTTAAAGCTAAGTGTAATGCAAAGAAAATGGCAGCCAACATGTTTTTGGAACTGACTGTTGATTTCACTGCAACTACTCTGTAGTCTTATATTCACTCTGCCTCGAAGAAATCAGGTTTATAATCAGATGAACTGCTTCACTGAACAAATCTACAGGATACCTTTACAGGGCAGTCTGTCTAACCACCAGCTCACCCTGTAATTCTGTGTGTTACCTGAAAGGACCAGGGCGATGCCGCCTGTACGGACCCTCCTGTTCTTGGTGCCATTTGTGAAGGCGCTCAGGCCGAGCACCACGCCGGCGAAACAGCTCAGCACCGCCAGCAACATGAAGGCCCGTGTGGCATCCCAGAAGGCTGGAGAACAAAGAGATCAGGACCACATGCTGGCATTTTTATGTTTACATCAAGGGAATTCCTCTGTAGTGTGCAATTAAGACTTTTCCACAATTTGATTTCAATGATATCAATTTGATACTGAGTCTTCCTTTTAATCTTTCAAATACTATTTCTACAGTTTGATTAAGTGCTCTTTCCATCAGTAAAAACAAATAACGTTACGGTTGTCATGTGTTTAGCTAGCGTAAGTCCTCCATCCATTGTCTATACATGCTTATCCGTGCAGAGTTACAGGGGGACTGGAGCCAATCCCAGTTCACATTGGGTGAGAGGCGGGGTACACCCTGCACAGGTCGCCAGTCCATTCACAGGGCACATAGAAACAAACAACCACAGAAAGGCCTGGGACAACCGAGGTTCAAACCCCGGAACTCCTTGCTGTGAGGCGACAGTGCTAACCACTGTACCATCGTGCCGACAGCCTATTTCATGTCACTAGGAATTCTGTCTAGACCAGGAGTGTGAGGCGGGCCTCCCTAGGGGGGCTCCAAACAGTTTCAGGGGAGGCTCAGTGAATGGAAGTGAATCAATATTACATTACTTATTGCATTAGTTATCAAAAGGAGATCACATAGAATAGCCTACATCATGTGTGAGGGTTCAGAGATACAGTCGTTTTTGGGAACCGTTTTCCTCCCATCAGAGTCAGAATCTAATAAATGCCTTAGGACAGACCTTTTTTAAAACTATTTGGTGTAGTCAGAAGTTATGTCAAACCACAATATTATGATATTTCGGCTCAAATGTTGAGTGTATGTGGGATCAAATTATATAATCATGATCCCATAGGCATCCAGGAATTGAGCAAAACTTACCAGGTCAACTAAAGATGTGGTAGGGGGGCGCCGTTTCCCAAGCTTTGTCTGAGGGGAGGCCTGCTGTGTCAGACTTTGAAAACCCCTGATCTAGATAATTTTCTGAACTGGGTTAATGTGCTTATCAACAGACTTGATCAGATTGTATAGATAAACATGTTTTCCTGACTATGACGTAAATTCATTAACATCCTGAAGGAATCATTTCCTCAGAAACACCCAGTTGGCCACTTAAAATGTTAAATATATCAGCGTAAAAAATCAGCTGGCGGCAGCTTGGGTCACATGTCACCTATGAAGTACCTACCTACAGTTATGGTGTGGGCATGGCATTTGTGGTTGATGCAGAACCTCCAAAGCCCCTGATTGGCTGAGCTACCCGAGTATCGATACTGCATCCAGAAGTCTGTTGCTGTAGAAACAATCAGAAGCACGAGGGCAGCCAGACCGCAGAGCGTGCCCCCTCCTGCCAAAGTATACAGCATCGTGGAGAAGCCGGGGGAAGTGCTGTCCTCCTAAACATTCAGCAACTGTTCAGGGAAGAGAGGACAGGATGGAGAAAGGAACATGGTTTAGACCTCATACTCAGTGGTTTACTCTTTGATGTCCCAACATTCACAAGTTATCCATATAAATTGTCATTGTCAACGACAGAGCACAGATGCTGAATTAAAAATGTATCAAGCTATAATAAAGAACGCAGATTTGGAGAGTCTGCATCAGCCAAAAATATCCATAATAACACATTACTCATGTCCACTCAAGATCAACAAAGGTGACATTTCTTTGCCAATTCCACATTCCAGAGTGCGACCTTTCTCCTATCCTTCCTTATCCATATCGGGCACCTGGCAGCTCAGTTATTATAGGTCAGAGTGACAGTTCATTGATTTGCCATTACATATTTGTGTGCACAAACATTAACCACACAGGTTTCAAATGACACAGAATATGCCATTGTGTGCCACAGATTAAGTAAAAGATGACGCATAATAGGATAACCTATGATATCAATGATCTCCCCCATCCATCAGGTTTCTGCATAGGTGCTCTGTTAAAGTGAAGATAAAATAAGATCCTTATTTGTAAAAGTTAAAGATGTGACCAGATTTGTCATTTCACATTGTTCAGTGAAGCATCATTTAGCCTGCCATCATTTTCTTTGCCAATTCCACATTCCAGTGTGCGACCTTTCTCCCATCCTTACTTATCCAGATCAGTTAGGGCAACTCAGTTACTGTAGGTCTGAGTGCTCATGACGAAATATTTAGCTTCCTGAATGTGCTGCGGATAAGAATCAGCAAAACTTCAGTACTGGGAGGTACTCATGATGGCTCCACTGACCTGCTGCAAACCTGTATCAGAGCCAGGTTGAGGTGGCCGTTGTAGTTTCAGAGCAGACCAAATAGATTGATCAAATTGGTTTCTGATACACTGCACACTAAAAATAAAATCCAAAAGAAGAAACCTTTAGATTTTGAAATGTTACCAGATGGTCCTTATTTTAAGAATATTTAATACAATACAAAACAACAATATAAAAAGGGACATGCCCACACATTAGACAAGAAAGTGAGGCTGTCAAATTGGTCATAGCCAGCAAACCCCTGTATGACAATGAGCTTGCCTATCAGGCAGTTCAGAGCCTTTGTTCACCACTAATTCCCCTCTATGCAACACAAACTAATCTTTCAATCTGAGCAACTGATCTGTCAGCAGTGTTGCTCTCTGTCACACAGCCAGCAAACCAAGGATTTCATACACCGATTGCACCTCCCGTGCTCGTCACCGCAGCTCTTAAAACCAACCAAATTCAACTATCACGTCCAAATTATACCTCTACATCTGAGGCCAAAATGTGACAACGTTGTTCTTTTGCCAAGAAACACGTGCAAGCATCAGGGTCCCAGGCCCAGTTTGTTGGCTGTAAAGGGCCGTATCCCTGGAGGTCTCCAAACTTCATCTCATCTGCCTTTTTAGTTCTGCATGTTCTCCATAAGCAGGTTCTCAGTTGTTGTTTGCCTTTTAGACCCTAAAAGAAAGTGGTATCTTCCGGGAGGTACAGTAAAAACAGATTCTATTTAAGTCCACGTTTTTTTCTGATACCTCTTGGTTGGCTGGTGTCTCTCCAGGGTTGCTGGCTGTAACAGTGTGCCTATCCTTTTTAAGCCCTGGACCCCTGGCTCTCATTGTCCACTTCACAAAAGAGGGAATGATCGAGCGCAGCATGTGAGTGATGGTAAATCCCCCACCCTCTCTTCTCTGCACTTACCTCCATCCCTCTACCACCCCTCTGTTTCTCTAACCCCTTGCACTTTATCTCTTTGTGGTGAAGTGTGACGTCTTCTCATTCTTCCCTGTCTTTTTTTCTTTTCAATTTCTTTCTCCGTGTTTTCTCAAAAGTAGCTAATCATCTGGCACCTAGAGTAAGTGTATCATGAGATTATTTTCTGCCAAAGCCCCCCCCCCCCCTCGGTTTTGCCATGCCAGTGATGGGCGTGTGCATGACAGGAATTAGCAGTCCTACTATGCAAAAGCAACATGGGCAATTGCCTAGGGCAGAAAGTAAGCGCTTGTGCACACTGCGCCTTGCATATATCTGCAACGTGTGTTCACACAGAGGCGTGTGTGTGTGGCCCCAACATGCTTTTCATGCACACATTTGAATTTGTGTTCTATTTGGCAAAACAACACACACAATGACTCAACACATTAATGAGCAGTGTGGTGGTACATTGTATCTTTATTCCATCAGTTAACTTACAGCATGTGCTATCAGACAGCCACTATTTTATCATTTTACCAGTTTGAACCCCATTGACCCTTTGAGAGTTCATTGTTTTGTCATTACACATTTGTGTGCACATTGTTTAAAACCACACAGGTTTTAAATGACAGAGTATGCCATTGTGAGCCACAGATCATGTAAAAGATGACGCATAATAGGATAACTCATGATATAAATTCTCTCCCACATCCATCCGGTTTCTGCATAGGTGCTCAGTTAAAGTGAAGATAAAATCAGATCCTTATTTGTAAAAGTTAAAGATGTGACCAGATTTGTCATTACACATTGTGCAGTGAAGCAGCATTCCTATCTTTCAAGCGCCAAGTTACCATCTTTTCCATTCTTGAGTTTAGCCTGCCAACATTTTCTTTGGCCGTGTATAAGAGACAGATTTTGTCATTCGTGCAATATGTTCCTTTTTAAAGTATACTCCATATTCCTCAACCAATCACTTTACACTGAGTTTTGCTCATCTTTTGAAATGACCATGAATCTGCTTATTAACAACCACCTGAGTCAGCACTGTGAATCCATGTGCCAGAATCCACATAAACATGTTTCTAAAACTTTAGACTCAAAATTTATTTATCCCCAAGTTGTCTATCTAGAACACAATGTTGAAATAACTATTTTTTTTGTCTGAGACACATTTATAAAAGTGACTTGTTGTTATCCACTAAAATTCCTGAACATTATTTATTTTCTACATTTGTGTAAAGCGCTAATTACTCTGGCTTTTTCAATATTTACAGATTCAGGGAAAAACACATTGGGAATTTATAGAAGTGTGCACAAAAGCCAATGTGATCACTTTCTGCGACATTACAAAACATTTTACAGATAACAAGGTATATGAGAAAATACCAAAATAAAGCTGCAAATAAATAAATCTCTCAATAAATACACACATCCGAAAATCTCTACAAATGTTACAAAAAGGCACATTATGATATGCATAACCAAACGTGGCTTCTTTCCACAACATAAAGAGTCCAGCTCACTGCTTCCTATGGAAAAAGCAGTGCTTTATGTTCTACCAACATTCCCTCTAAAGTGACCTTCATGTTTTGTACCAAGTTCTGATTATGGCTGACTAAAATGTAGTCTGGCATTGTGAGAAAAGAACTAAAGTAACTTGAAGGTGTGCTTGCAGTGAACGTACTCATGCCTTTCAACACAGGCTTTATTAGTCAATCTATATTCAAAGTAAAGTAAAGTAATTCTACTTAGAAAAGTGGTTAGGTATTCAATGAACACACACACACACACACACACACACATCCTAAATAGGTACTGAACCTCACATGAATAGACACATTAACACTCCATGTTTCCTCTTTTTATGGCATTAGCAAAATGTTCTTATTAGTCTGCGTTAATTTGTTTTTCTTTAATTACTCTCAAACTGCAAAGCCAAATACAGACACATATTTCTACAATGCTGTGTTTGCTTGCACACACACACACCGCCACATGCTAACAAAGACATAAACGGTAGCATGCAAATGCGCACCCACACACACACACACACACACACACACAACTGGGACCTTTAAAATGACCTCAAACACATATCTGTCACACAATTTATATACACATATACATATGCAGACACAAGACACACACGCACACACTAAACTCCAAACTGAGCAGCATATAATCAGCTTGAGGCTCACGATATGTATGCACACTAATACGCAACACACACACACACACACACACACACACATATACACACACCCCGCAGCAGTTAGTGATGCCATGCTGGGATGTATTCAGATGCTGTGTTCTTGTGCTTCCTGCTGCTGCTGCTGCTGCTGGTAAGCAGTGTTTCTCCAGTCAATAACTCAGGGGCCTGGTGCCCAGAGGACAACAGTTCGATCTGCAGAGGAGGAGAGGAAGGTCCGGTCATGGGGGTGCCACCTGCACTGGATCACTTTGTCCCAGTGCTCCCCTGCCAGCGTCTGAGGGAGGGGCTTTGTTAGGTCACCTGGGGTCAGAAAAAAGAAAAATGTCACACAGGAATAGCAAAAGTGGGATCAAACACAGACACTGCCAGCATGTGTTGCATTAATATGACTCTTTCGACAGTAAGTTGGACTTGCAAGCAACATTCGTCAGGTTATCTTTTAACTGTAAGAGGCATTTTAATTCAAATAAATTTATATTTGTACTTTTAAAATATGACATTCTTAAGAAAGTTTAACCTTTTCAAACTGGATTTCACAAAATTATTGATCTTCTTTAACCCTTTGTGTACAGCATGTGACTATACAGTACTTATAAATTTATGTTATTTTGGATTGTTGTTACCTTGAAGGTCACTTATGATGATTTTGTTGTCATAAGAGCCGGTGAGGAGATTATGGGCTCCAGGAGAGAAGCGCACTGAGCGAATGTCACTGCCGTGGGGGCGGTATGTCTGGACTATGCGGCCTCCTCTGATGTCATACAACATGCAGGTACTGTCCTCCTGACCTGTGGCCAGCAGGCGTCCACTGGGATCGACTGCCACCGAAGCAACTGCACTTCCTGCGTGAGACAGGGTGGTAATGGGTGAGATGCTTTGATTGGCTCTAACTAATTTGTGTGTGTGTGTGTTTTTTTTTAATCTATGGCTCACTAACTTCAACTTTGCCTATTCGGGGGTTAACTGTGGTACCACACTGTAACGTAGCAATGTGGTACAAGTGATTTGCAGCCATATAAATCCACTCCACTTTGATGTAGGGCTGGGTGATATGGTCAATAATGTTATCATCAATTATCACGATAAATGTCAAATCATTATTTCGTTCAAGTTTAAAGGCTGATTTCTGCTCCTGACTGAAAGTTGAAGAAACCAGATGGTTAACTGTATTTTAATGGTTAATTTTAAACTATTCTAATTGGACTTTGTTTCTTTGTCTTTCTTTATGGATTTGTTTTATTGCCCAGCCCTACTCTGATGAGAGTCAGAATGTGACTCACCTGAGCCGTGCAGAGTTGTGCCTACCACCCGGACACAGCTGGGCACCCGCAGGTCCCAGAACCGGACTGTCTTGTCCTGGGAGCCAGAGGCGATCATCCACCCTCCCCACGTGTACAGAGTCAGAATGTGACCTTTTCAAACAAAATGGTGACATTTAAAATACTGTACATACTATATCATTACCTTGTTGTACTGACATGTTGGGTTTACAAGCCCAGTTTATATTACTATGACTATCTCAAGAGTTCATTGGTTTCTCATTGGGGAACAATGTAGAAATAATAATCTTAAAATGTCTGCAACCTGGACGTACCGGTGTGTCCGCTCAGGGCGTGAAGACCCTGTCCTCTCTGACAATCTGTTGTGTAGATGTTGCAGTCTCCGGCCCCGGCACTGATCAAGATGGATCCTCCACTCTCAGGGCCCTCCATGAAGGCCAGGTCCCTGATGGTACCGTCATGCATGCTGAACTCCAGGTCTGGGCCTGAATCAGAGGCATACATTTGGGGTGGAAGCACAATGGAAAGGAGAAAGATGAAATGTCTTCTCTCAATATTTCTTCTTGAAACTGTATTTCACTTGTGCTGCATTTTCTGAAGCACAGTTAAGATTTACCAAATCACTCTGACCACAACAGCAGGTGACCATTCAAACATAGCTCCTTATCTGGGAAAAAGGACATTTCTTATCTCATGCATGCTAAAACACATAAAATAGTACCTGTGGCATTGCAGCTCTCTGCATTGAAGGGCAGGACTTTGACATATTTATCATTGGAGCCAGTAGCCAACAGTTGTCCACAGTGGCTCCAGGCTACGCAGTAGATTGAGCCCTTATGGTGTTTGTTCCTTCTGAAGCGCACCGCTGGCTGCTTGACTGCACCAGAACCACTGAACGAGCCAAGAAAATACAATTTAACTTTAAACATTCTCTAACAAGCAAATTCATTTTAAGGTGCAAAGCAGGAATTTAACGGTTTATTCTTTTTACTTTCCTTGGTCATGACAAGTGCTCACAAGATGCACAAATCCCCATATTGCCCCCATAAGTTATGTTAAAACACTTCTCGGCCTGTTTTCTGTCAGTATTTTCTGTGCATGATCTATTTTTTCTTGTACACAGATAATCTTTCATCTTGTAAGAATATCTCATAGTTTGGATATATAGGTACCTGTGAATGGTTCCTACCTGGGGGTCAGAGTTTCTGAGTAGGCACAGACTCTCAGTGTTTTTGAGTTGGAGCCGACAGCGTAGAGCGCTCCAGTGGGATGGAAGGCCACTGCACGCACCGCCTGTGTGTCCTCCAGCTGGCTCACTTTAACAAAATGTGTTTTGGACTTCCCCGGCTGTACAAGATCAGAAAAATAACCTTTTCAGCTATGATCTACATGTACATCAGCACGTGAAACACAAATACCTTTCAGGCTAACGTTTAGAAAACAGGTCAAACAAAGATGTGGATGTTTTATGGCATTTATTTTTTATTGGACAGGCAAAGGTTTAGTTGGTTACGAAGTGAAACAATGCAGGACACAACAGAAGACGCAGTGGGCCTACTAATACCAAAATTAGTAAGAAAATAATGTAACAATAACACAAACCCGATTCCAAAAAAGTTGGGACACTGTACAAATTGTGAGTAAAAAAGGAATGGAATAATTTACAAATCTCATAAACTTATATTTTATTCACAATAGAATATAGATAACATATAAAATGTTGAAAGTGAGACATTTTGAAATGTCATGCCAAATATTGGCTCCATTTGGATTTCATGAGAGCTACACATTCCAAAAACGTTGGGACAAGTAGCAATAAAAAAGTTAAAATTACATATAAGGAACAGCTGGAGGACCAATTTGCAACTCATTAGGTCAATTATAAAAAGAGCCTCTCAGAGCGGCAGTGTCTCTCAGAAGTCAAGATGGGCAGAGGATCACCAATTCCACCAATGCTGCGGCAAAAAAATAGTGGAGCAATATCAGAAAGGAGTTTCTCAGAGAAAAATCATCATCTACAGTGCATAATATCCAAAGATTCAGAGAACCTGGAACAATCTCTGTGCGTAAGGGTCAAGGCCAGAAAACCATACCGGATGCCCGTGATCTTCGGGCCCTTAGACGGCACTGCATCACATACAGGAATGCTACTGTAATGGAAATCACAACATGGGCTCAGGAATACTTCCAGAAAACATTGTTGATGAACACAATTCACCGTGCCATTCGCCGTTGCCGGCTAAAACTCTATAGGTCAAAGAAGAAGCCATATCTAAACAGGATCCAGAAGTGCAGGCGTTTTCTCTGGGCCAATGCATCATTGCATTCTAATTTAAAATGGACTGTGGCAAAGTATAAAACTCAAAATTTGACGTTTGTTTTGGAAAACTGGGACGCGATGTCATCCGGACTAAAGAGGACAAGAACAACCCAAGTTGTTATCAGCGCTCAGTTCAGAAGCCTGCATCTCTGATGGCATGGGAAGCTTACACATCTGGAAAAGCACCATCAATGCTGAAAGGTATATACGAGTTCTAAAACAGCATATGCTCCCATCCAGACGTCGTCTCTTTCAGGGAAGACCTTGCATTTTCCAACATGACAATGCCAGACCACATACTGCATCAATTACAACATCATGGCTGAGTAGAAGAAGGATTCGGGTACTGAAATGGCCAGCCTGCAGTCCAGATCTTTCACCCATAGAAAACATTTGGCGCATCATAAAGAGGAAGATGCAACAAAGAAGAACTAAGACAGTTGAGCAACTAGAAGCCTGTATTAGACAAGAATGGGACAACATTCCTATTCCTAAACTTGAGCAACTTGTCTCCTCAGTCCCCAGACGTTTGCAGACTGTTATAAAAAGAAGAGGGGATGCCACACAGTGGTAAACATGGCCTTGTCCCAACTTTTTTGAGATGTGTTGATGCCATGAAATTTGGAGTCAACTTATTTTCCCCTTAAAATTATAAATTTTCTCAGTTTCAACATTTGATATGTCATCTATGTTGTATTCTGAATAAAATATTGAAATTTTAAACTTCCACATCATTGCATTCTGTTTTTATTCACAATTTGTACAGTGTCCCAACTTTTTTGGAATCGGGTTTGTACTTTTAAAAGTTTGTTTGCTGTACCTCTTGTGAGTTACGTGTCGCAGAGCAGGCAGAATCATCTTGGACTGTGGGACAAGACACTCGGATCCTCTCTCCACTGATAATAAAAATACACACACACACACACACACACAGAAAGGTAAATTCATTCTATATGTGATTTATCTTGTACACTATTATTATTTCACAACGGATAGTGACCGCTTAATATAAAGATCAGGAGTTTGTGTTATCTGCTTACAGATCAATATTCGAACCAATATGAAATGTTATCTTTTTTGCTTAGAGTCTGATGATAGCTAGTCAACAACAAATTACAATTTCAACAGAAAAAAAGTATCCTTTCAAATATGAAGCCAAATATGACAGGTTGATGTTTAGGTATTGTGATGACCAGGAACTCAGCAGGCTCTTACCTTTGACTGCCAGGAACTGGGGACTCGCTGAGGGAAGGCAAGCCGGGGCTCCCGGTCCTTAACGGGGTGCTGCTGACCCCCCCACCTGGCTTGTCCTTTGGCGGCCCGGTGTCTGGGGTGTTGTGGGTGTTGCTGGTTCTGGGACTTGAAGTGCTGCCGTTCTCTGTCAGTCCGTTCCACTGCTGGCCCAGATGTGTCATCACCTCATCGCCTCTGTGGTCAGTGCTCACATTCATCTCCTCCAACTTCTGAATGGATCTAGACAAAAACAAGATCTCTTTGTCTCCATTAGTAATCCAAAGAAGGTTAAAAATCAAGGGCAACTGGACTTGGCAGTGGTGGCGTAGACCCCCTCCTCTGTTAAGCGACAGCTTCTCAACCCGGGTGAGGATCACCAGGTGCATATTTTAGACAGAGGATGGATGGTTTGATAGAGGTGTCAAGGTGTCCCGTTGCCCTTGATTTTAACCTTCTTTGGATAACTATGATCTGGATGACTGAGAACCTTCACAGACGTTTCATTCGTTGAATCACTGACGTGTAATCTTTTCACATCCTCACCTGCTGAGGAAGGTCTCAGTGAGGTTGTTTTGGGCTCCGTCTTGCGGCTTCACCCCTCCCTCCAGCAGCATCTGCTGGTAAAGTTGTCTCTGCTGCTTCTTCTGCTCCAGATGCTGTTGAACACGGAGACGCTGCCTGTGATACTCCTGGATGTGCTCTGTGGAGTCAACATGCTGGACAAACACACATGCACGCAGTGAGTCAACATGAAAAGACTCAGAAGCAACACATGAACAGGCCCTGCAACCTGAATGACTAATATTTATTATTGCCTTTCAGTATTCTCTGCTTCAACACTTGGCAGTGCCGCCACACACACACACACACACACACACCATATTATAATAGACAAACTCTCTCCTTTACTCTAGCCACTACTGACAACTCTTCAATTCCCAAGGCCTCGTCCTCCATCATCCATCCCATAAAAAGTTTTCAAGGACCTCATCATTTCCAGTGGGTCTACAGTATATTCCCCTTCATCTCTCTCACCACTTCTCTCACACACACACACACACACACACACACACACACACACACACACACACACACACAACAATCCAATCTCAAGCTACTGTGCTCCTTTCGATGGGACCTGGGATGCATAAAGATGAGCGATGATGGAAGCAGAAAGCCATATTGGGTGTGACCGCACATCAAACCAGATCATCTTCCTCAAGTGTCCATGACCTCCACCCTCCTCACTGGGACAGGGGGGCCCCGAGGACGCTAGTGCCCCTTGGAAAGGTGTGGTAGAAAATTGGGGAGGGATTTATGAGGCCGTGTCGGCGTGGAGACGAGGTTCAAGGGGTTCAGGGGAAATCTATTCTAAATCTGGAATAATGACTGTGGAGGGCAGATAGACGGAAAATCTCCCTTTGACTTTGACTCAAGTGACCAGACAGACAACCTTGGCTATTTCTTATTACAGTCTTCACAAAAGTCATGAAATGAATTTAGCTTGAGCAACCAAATGTGAGACACTCCACCCCTCCATATCCGAAATGTCTTTGTGCTTATTCTTATCATTGATCTGTCGTTTATAATGTATGTACAATAACCACACATGCAACAAGGCATGGCTTATAGTGTTCTTATTACCTCATTTGTTTCTGTGCTGCAGGGTGACCCATCTTTTCCAGGGGTCAGAGGCGTGCGTGTGGTGTTGGGTCCGTCCAGCCCTTGTGGGTGCTTCCTGTGGTCAGGAAAATGCACATGTCAACAACAAATTCTTTTGAAATTCATTGGTTAAAATTCAAGTAGTAAGTAAAACAATACAATGCAAGTAAACTCAAGGACTATACTGTATGTAGCAAAAGAAAATAAATAATATTATTAATTGACGGCTCACTTTGTTAAAAAGTGTCATTACTTATTAGAAAACAACCAAGAGATGTGAAAAATGTGTTTATATTGGGTTTAATTAAAGAATAATTTTGTTTTGTTGCCTATTTGATTCATTGTAATGATTTATAAAGTTGGATACCGTACTGCAAGACAAAATCCTGAACCTGGTAAGAGAATGTAGTGATCTCACTTTGTACCAGTTGTGCACATTAATTACATTCAGCAGGTGGAGCCAGAGGGAAGTGGAAAGTCAGGCAAACTGTTCAGTTCACAATGGCTCTTTCTCATTTGATGCCTCAAAACCCTCAGAACACATAACCTGTTACTTAGTGGTGTAGCATTTTATTTGCAGTAACCTTGTAAAGCAAACCTGTCAGCTTTCCTCTAATGATTTGATGGATTTTAAACTTACTTCCCAAGTGCTTTCATCACACACAGAATGCACTCTACCTGTGCTGTATTAGCTTCTTTTTCATTATTACTTTATTTTCTCATAACAATCCCACAATAAAACTAGAAGACAGCAATCAAAAAAAAGGAACAGAACAGAAACAGGGATAAGGGTAGAAAGGGAAGAAAAAAAACAGATGGAGGGCTGCCAGAGTATCAGAGTGCAAGATCAAAGTTTGCTCAGATTAAGGGCACAGCATAATTTTTTGCTGCAACCATACCTCCTCTAAGAATCTGCTTCTGATCAGAAGGAAGGGCCTTTGTACTGTCAGAGCAACCAAAAATAGCCAGATTACAATCCAGCTGGATATTTATTCAACATTGTTTGGAAAGACAGTTAAATATGTCACTCCAGATATTTTTTAGGTTTTATTTACATTTAAGCAGCAACAACCTTCTCTTCAGACCAGTTGGTACAGCCTTAAATTAGTACAAGGTTTAGTACTGTGATTTTCAATAATGTCTCATTAGGTGAAAGCTTTAGATTATATTGCATCCGATCAACACTGAGCTGCAGTTTAATATGCTTTGTGCAGCACTATAGGAGATGTCAGACGTGGCAGGCCTAATGGGATTAATGGAGCTACAGATTGTGTCATAAAACAAGATCTACCTCTTATCTAAGGTTGCCCATGCTAATGCGAAAAAAAACAAAAAAGTGAAAGCTTGGTAAGAAATGTAAAAAAAAAAAACAGATGGCATGGATCACTATTAAATAGCAATTCAATTCTACACAATATAATAATGACACATGGTTTCATTTTACACAGAGGTGATTTCAGCAGAATAGTCTCATGTGTAAATATATATCACGACAGCTGTCAGTTCAAGATGCATTTTTTATGGGTTTGAGTGTAATATTATTATACAATAGAAGAATATTATATAATTTATAATATAATATATATTATATCTTTTTGTATTTCATAAATTAATTTTTTCTTTCACAAGTAAGTGCAGCCATTAGCTGCTCAGTTTATTCACAAGGATCTTTTTGGATTTGTTTTAATTTAAGCATGCTACATAATGTTGTTTTATGACTCAGAGGACTGAGGTTAGTGAAGGATACATTATTCAAGAGAATGTAGCAATAATTACAAAACAGTATGTAATAATGTGAATACGTTTTCTTTCAGAAGACAATAAAATGTGTTGCTACAGAGGAAAATTAGTTTTGCAGTAATACATACACACACACACACACACACACACACACACACACACACATAGTTTTGTAAAGCAAATGAATGGTATGCTTTGACATGTACTGTGCGTTGCTGCAGACATCTGCAGTGTTTAACTCCATCCATCTGGTCCTCCAAATACTAAATACCTCCAAAAAGCATGTGTCCTAGGTGTGCTCAAGCTTTGACCCTTACCTTTCAGGTGAATCGTCCTGGTGATGCACATTATTCTCCACTAAGCTCCGACTGAGGGCAGACTTCACGTTGGCCTCCATGCCTCTCTTGTCCTGGGCTGCTAGACCGTGCGACAGGCCGTCTAAAGCTGGGTTGAGGGATCTGGACATATAAGTGTCTGCCGAATGAGGCCTCTGGTGGCAGGATGAGTTAGGGCAGGGGGACAGGCGGTTGATTAGCGGAGTGAGGAGGTCGGCGTGGCCGGCCTTGCTAGGCTTCACCAGACGGTCCACGTGTATGTTGAGGGTCTTTTGCTGGAAGGCGCAGGAGAAGGCACCAGGAGGAAGGTTCTGCAGCCAGGAGAGCAGTGACAAGTCCAGTTCATCACAGCCATTCCCGCAAAGCAAATCCACGCCAAGCAACACTTCACCCTCAGTGATCTCCTCACCAGTTGCTTTACTCTGGAAAACAGAAGGAGAGGGGTTTTGTTAGCTTTAATGATTTTGAAATAAATGTACAAGTGCAATCAGACTTTCCACATTCAAATAGGATCGAATACCCATTTAAGATTACATTAGACCTAAAACCCTTAAAAAATGTGAAAATGTCTTTCAGTGGATTTCCGAGTATCTCTATCGGTTTGGAGAGGTAGCATTATGTTTCGGCCTTTTAATAGCCACTGAAGTTTTCTTGTAACCCTTTGAACTTTTAGGATATTGTTTCCCAAAGGAGATAATAAGTTGATTACTTGAATCTGCTGTGTTGGAGCAGGGAGAAATCTAAACCATGCAGGACAAGGGGGTACTCCAGGAGAGGTTTGGGAAAACCCTGTTTTAGGGTATCAAGTTACCTGACAGAACTCGACACAGCACTCGTAAAGGATCCCTTTAATGAGCAGCTGGAAGAGGCGGTTCCCACTCGCCCTGAAGCCTGCCTCACTCAGCTTCCTGTCCGCAGGGATGAACTCAGCTACCATGGCGCAGGCTTCCTCGAAGCAATGGACACGTGCCGTGCTTGGGTTCCAGTCTTTGAACTCGGCGTGGTGGGTGAGGCGTGGCAGGGTGAGGAGGAGACACAGCTTGCTGTAGTCCTCCTTGGTCGGACAGAACTCCTCCAGTTCATGGAGGCACTTGACAGCCCCCTGCATGGTGAGCTCCAGCTGTAAAATTCAGAGAAGACAAGTGAGTATGTGGCTGTTAAGACGCTTTCTCTGATGTGTTTGATGATAAAGGGTGAAATTGGCTGTTCAACAAAAATGTAGGGTATCTGATAATGTTCAAAGGCCATAAAAATGTCAGCCAGTAAAACCAGCTTCACACTAGCTTAAGAAGCTGCCAACCTACCTAACAATGTTATCTATTTGGGTTGCAGTGTGGAGAGCTAATGTGCCTCATGATAAGTCTAATGTTTGTAAGAAGTTTTAGAAGAAGCTTCATACTCACAAAGAGCATTATCATCTCAATTCAATCGTTTCTTCTGCTGAGCAGAGACATATTAGGTTGCCATGCTCAAGGATATTTTGAGTGTATTTGGTTTCCCACCAGGCGGAATTTTTATTTATGAGCACAATCTGATGACTTCTACTACTGTCCCTTTTGTTCATCTTATCTAGCGAGACTATGTTCAAATTCAAACATCCTTATTTCCTCATCACATATTTACATACGTTCGTAGGGTCTTCAGCAGCAGACATGGCGTTATTTACACACAGAGCTTCCAGAAACTTCTGCTTCAGAATGATGTAGCGGAACCTGGAAACACAAATATCTGTATTAAAGAGGTGGTATTGTGCTAATTTTCAGGTTCAAAATCCTATTTAGGGGTTGTACCAGAACAGGTTTACATGGTTTAATTTTCAAAAAACTCCATATTTTTTGTCATACTGCACATTTCTGCAGCTCCTCTTTTCACCCTGTGTTGAAGGTTTCGTTTTAGCTATGGAGTTCATCTTATCTCTAAATAATCTTTGTTGGGAGTTGCACATGCATAGTTCCTAGTTAAGGACTACTAGCCAATCAGAAGCAGAGAAAGGCGGGTCAGCGAAAAGATGGTAAACAGCTTAGATTCAGCTGTAGGCTACATGTTGCCGACCCGGTTGGCAATTTGGACTGGAGCAAGAGTTTCAGAGTGGTGAGTTATTAATCTGTAACAAAAGTATCTTTCATCCATAAAGTTTTAACTGAGCTCTGTTTCTACATCACAGTAACAACTTCATGTCCATTGACTGCATGGAGGGTCGCTAGTGTTTGAAAGGGAGAGGAGAGGTGTGTGCTGCAGCTCAGTGTTTTTCCACCGGTGTTTTTGAGGGCGTGTCGGACTAGTCGCTCAGCAAGCATTATGACACGTATTTTCATTGTGACGTCACAAGAAAGGGAAGTAAAGGCTGGACTACAAACGAGCTGTTTTCAGGCAGTTCAGAGCAGTGTTTTCTGTGGGAGATGGGAACTCCCTTTGGGTAGGACTTTGGGCTTTTTCATTTTGCAAAACTAGTACATGCACAAAAAAAGATTTATAAAGGAGAGGGAAAAAGCCAAAAACCATAATACCACCTCTTCAAGAAAATAATATATTTATATAATATACTTTATAGGCCATATTGTTTATCCCTCATGTAACATTCCCTGGATTTAGTTATTTTGATACATTTATTTAATTAGGGAGCACAACTAGGTGCAAAAATGTTCTTCATGTGTTGAGTGTTTGGTTGTTGGTAAGAGACAGAGGCTGTTATTAATGGCATGATCATGCCACATCAGCACTGGGACTTGACCTAGCTCAACACAGTCACCAGTGAAGGGAAACAGCATCAATACTTAATAGTATACTTGAAATATAGACAAACAGGCAATACAACCGTAGTCAAATAAGATATTTTCCAGCTGTAGGCTGCTGAGAACTCTAACTCAAAAAGCTGAGTTTCAGTTAGGCCTCATCTTCTCCTCATAATGCCTCAACAACAAAGTCACTCTGGTTGATGTACAGCAATTACCTTTAAAAGAGCCGTCTGTTTTTAGATGTCACGTTACATACGCACACATTATTTCCCTCACCTTTTCTTGTCAAACGTGTCCATTCCTTCTAGAGGCTGAATGAACTGCATCACCTCCTCCCACTGCCCGTCCAGAATGAGTTGCCTATTGAAAGCAGCAAAATGAATTATTTATTTTTGAAAGTCTAATCTTCCCTTTCAGGACACTATGGTCTTCTCCACTCTGCCACATGAGTCTGCTGTACAATCATACCTGAGGAAGAGCATGTCATCGGAGTAGAGTCCATTAATGACGCCGCTCTCCTTCTCTAAGGCCAGCATACTGATGTGCAGCTTCCTGGAGTTCAGGAAGTCCAGCATCACCTTGATCACCTCCGCCTCCTTAATGCTGATTGTCTCCTCTGCCGTCATGATTACAAATCTGTTGTGGCAGCTTACAGCTGGCTGGAATACAGACAGAGGGAGAAGAGGAGATGGGACTTGGTGTTGACAAAGTTGCATCAATAAAGAAAAATGCATTTTTTTCCAAAGAGTTTCATTCTAAATTGACCATACATAGAGACATAATTTAAAGGAAATGCTACCTATTTCAATTAAATTACTTGAGGTTACCCCCAAAAACAAAGGCTAAATTAATTTATTGCACCAGCAAAGACTTACTCGGTATTGGTGTCTGTGTGACTGTCAAGCTATTGTTTATGTCAATATTAACATGCAATCTGTTTATGTTTGAAGTATTTTAATATGTTCTGCTGACAAATTGTGTAAAAGGTAAAAACATAGGCTTCTTACTCGATTTAAGAAACATGGTAGGTAAGTTATTTTTTGATCAAACAATAATATCTAGTTAGTTTTTGCTAACTGCTATGCGCTGTGTGTGTGTATGTGGAGGTTGCCTGGAGGCAGCTTAACAGTTTAAGATCAATGTTAATGATGTAAACACTCACAAATACTCATGCATACTTCTATTCCACACTGATGTCTACTGCACACTAAGGACCAATTACAAAATATTTCTGCAGGAGCTTCTGGTGTGCCTGTGCTTCTAAATTAGGTTATTTTAAAGTGAGTTTATTGTGCGACTGGGTGTGTGACTGGTATCTTATCATTTGGCACAGCATATCTGAAATGTAGCATTTCCGTAACATTCTCATGGGTGTCCATTCCACAGCAAACAATAATAATAATTACCTTTTTGCACAATAATATGCATACAGGGTGGCTATGTTTCCTACGATAAGAAATATCTAAGGATGCAATTGGTTAATCATGGCAGCAATAACAAGACATAAAGGGATCTTTCATTACGCATGATCCACTCGCCCTGAGTATGTAAAGAGAGGGTGGGGATGGAGCAGTGGATAAAACACATGCCTTTGGCGTGGTCGACCCGGGTTCAGTTCCCCACAGTAACATAACCCCTCGTTGCTCCAGAGGCTGGCGACCTCTGACATACTGTATAGATTTTGTAAGTCGCTTTGGATAAAAAGTGTCAGCTAAATGTAAACCTCAAACCTAAAGAGACGCCGTGTGTCTGTGCTGGAGGCAGAGCAGCTGGTGACACCGCCCTGTCCCTCCCTGCACAAGACAACATCCAGCTCTGGTCCTGACAGCAGGTCTGCGGCCCAACCACGATAGCCTCAGCACTTTTAACTGCGCTCAGGCAGTTTACGTGAGCATGACAGCACAGAGCGCGCAAACACACGCACAGCCGTTCAGTGGACTGGCATGCAGAACAACAGAAGCTAACTCATTCCCCTATAATATGCGGGATATAGTGCAGAACTACACCGGTGGTAAGAGGCTAACACGCCACGGTGAATCCGTGCCAACTCCTCACCTGTCAGTCTGCACCAACAGCACGCCGCATTAAAGCCGCTCCAATCCGTCTGCAGACTCCAAATGTAAGTGTAACTACGAAGCAGAGCCGAGAAACTGGTGTTTGGATGTTGAAATACCAGCCAGAGTCTCTCCAGAAAGGTCACTTCTGCCTTCTTTCTTGTACACAGCTCACGGTTGCCATGCGGACGCAGCCGCAAACCACCAATCAACTGTAGCGATGACGCCTAGTGGTCACACCTACAGCACAGCCATCCATCTCAAACTGATGTAATGTTAGAGGCAAATGGAAATCCATCAGTAAATGTCAATAATTAGGGGTCCAAGCCCGAGTGGGCTGCGAACCCGCGAATGCAAGACATCGCGGTTCCCAGTACCAGCGGAGCTGGAAATCCTATTGTGTTCGCTCGGATTTTTATTATTATTATTATTTTTATTCATCCATGCATAAAACTCATACTGCAGCCTAGACGGTAACTGCTGGGGACATGACACTCACAGGGTAGCTTCACAGCCCCAAGAGTAACCCAGGTGCAAAAATCCGCACACTTCTACCTCTAGGGGGCGCTATAAGCAAGGTCAACGCGTTTGGGCTTGGAACTCCCGCCTACGAAGGCGGATATCAAAAACCTTATATCCACGCGTTCGGGGGATCGAGCTGAATCTCGTGGTATAGGCCACGCCCATTTCCGCCTATAATTTTTCTTGCAAAATCCGGAAAACTGAAAATCCTATTTTAATTAACTTGTCCAAAGCCGCAAGTCCGATCGACACCAAACTTGGTACGATAATCTCTGGACCAAGCTGATAAAAGTTTGTAGAGGAAATTTTGATCCGACAAAAAATGTCGCAATTATAGGATAACAAATGTTTGCGAAAAACGCTACTAACAGGAAATTATGTCATATCTTCGCTTTGGAATGGCCGATCAACATCAAGCAGCATGGAGCATTAATGTGGGACGCCCCCCTGAGGGCCTGTGCAAAATTTGGTGCAACTCGCCCCTAGGTGGCGCTATTTAATTCCAAAAAATTGTTCCTCTATAACCACAAGTCACATTGACATGAAACCAGAGCCGAATTCTCCAGCATGGTCCCCTTACTACAGGCATCAAAGTTGTGCCAAATATGGCCATAGGTAGTGCTATTATAGCAGATTAAAGACGTTTAAAAAATCCCATTGACTTGCATGCATTTTACATCTCCAGTCCCACAAGTCCAATTGACACCAAATTTGGGTCAATTCTTCCCCATGGGCCCCTGATGACACCTGAAAATTTGGTGCAATTTGGCCAAAAGGTGGCGCTATAATGGAAGCTCAAATACTATTGGACAATCCCATTCATTTCAATAGGATTTTCTACCAATGGACATTTTGCCTCATAACAACGGCCCACTACATGGCACATTCATAAACCTTATGTCTAGTCTTTGGGGGATGCTACCAATTCATATGGTATAGGACACGCCTCTGTGCGATGACATTTTCATCAAATGTTTGCGCAAACGATAAAAACAGCATGTCAGATCTTACGTTTGCAATGTCCGATCTGCACCAAACTCGGGGACCTTGTCTGGCACGCCCTCCCGAGGGCCTGTGTGAAATTTGCCATCAATCGGCCTCTAGGTGGCGCTATTAATTGGAAATCAAATAACACTCCCATAGACATACAGTCGTTTCAGATCTCCGTAACCGCAAGCCCCTTTCATTTCTAACTCTGGTCATTTATTCTCCACGGTCCCCCCGAGCCATGATGGGGCGCCCATGGTTGAAAGTCTGAGTTAAAGTGAATTTTGGTCAGTAAAAATATAAAAAAAACACCCAAGATGTCAGGATTCATAGCTACAAATACCATAAATCACCAATAGGGAAACTCATACAAATAAGAAAGAGACAAAAAGAATGATAAGAAAAAATGTCAACAGAAGTATTTTTAGAGGTTACAATTTTCTACTAAGTGGACCTTAAAGTTCTTAACAATAATTTTACTGGTCATGGTCTATTAGCCTGGCAGTGGGGCAAAAATGTGTTATTGGACCCCTGTTGACCGACCCATTGTTTTGCATATGTTTTCTCAAAGTTCCAATCAAGGAAAGTCAATACAGCAGACTATACACAGAGGCCTCATTTGCCCAGACCCGTGGGAACCAAACAGTAATGTTACATCAGTGCTAGTAGCTGGCCCCAGATTTTCTGTGTGGTGGTTAGTCCTGATGGAGGGCCCTTCAGCAAATCAGGGCCACACGATTAAGAAGTTACATAATGCAGGAGCCCTCTTCGTTTATGTTGCACATTTGTGGTATAAATTCCTAGACGCTTCTGCAATAATTACATTTTGTACAACTAACTGACATAATGTGGGGCTTTTGGGGTCCTGAGGCTCTGGGTCAATTGCTAGCTTTGTCTGATTGGCTATCCAGCCTTGCTACTGGTTCTACTACATGCTTACAGAGTTTGAGTGGATTCACACGTCACTATATTTCATACTCCATAATCATTTTATAATTGAAAGTGATGGTAATTGCGAAGCATTGTAAGTAGCGTACCATTTTAGTCCAACTAGACCTTAGTGCAGCACCATCGTAGATCCTAAATGACCATAAGAACAACCGTACCTTGGAACAGCTGGCGTGGCCTTTAACAGATTTAAAATGTACCTTTTTGTTATATATCTCCACATTAGGTATAGCTTCAACTCCTGTTCTACTAAACTCTGCTAAGGTATACCCCAAGGCCTACTCTTTTCTCAGGACATTCCCGTTTTTCCATTTTCTATGTGGATGATACATAATATCATATAATACACAATTATGCATTATAGGCTTATAAACAATAGTGATATTAGTAGCCTGATAACTCTTAAGAGATTGTGTTGCCAAAATTAAGTGTTGGATATTTTATATTTTTCTCTAGCTCAATGAGGAAATGGCTGAGTTTGCACAACTGAATGCACTGAATTTGACAGTTGTCTAACCAACCTCACTACCTATACCTGATATATTCTCTCCAAAATACCTACTGAAAAAAACCTTAAATAAATAACAAATAAATTAGATTAATATTTCCATAAATGTTGTATGGCAAAATATGACAACCCATGTTGTCAAAGACTGCCTATATATGTTTCCTTAATAATTTCTATAAATAAAACCATACAAATAATATCAACCCTCCTGACTTTTCTTTCAGTTTGTCCATGGTGAATGACATACTCTTTCCTCTTATAAAATAGACCTTTTACAATTAACACCACATAAATGCTGAGGCCATGCTTAGTTTTATTAAATGCAAATAAGAAAAAACAAAAAAACAAAACAAAAATGAAACTACATGTTATCTATATGTTGGATGACAGCACAGCGTCTGACGAACAAAACAAAGTCATCATAGTGAATAGGTATGAGCTCACATGAACACACTGTACAATATCATTACAGTTTAAATAATCGTTTACCTTGGCCTTAAGCGGCCAAAAGCATGTGGAAAGAGCTTCTGTGGACAAATCCTTCCAAGAAACAGCAGAGAAACACTTCATACTCAGTCATACTAGATTACATGTACATGCTCTCTTTGGGTCATAAATATCCCTTCAGTTGAAAACAATGCACCATGTTCGCAGATGTTGTTTTTGTTGGAAATCGTACCTGCAAATGGTTTTGATTTGACATTCTGTGGCAAAAAGAACATGATACTGACAGCAATGAAACTCTGTAGCGAGTCTCTACCCGTATGCAGCAATGAGGCTCTGCTCTATTCTGCCTTGCATTATTTTGTGAAATTCATTCTCCTAATAATAGAAAAAAAAATGTAACAACTCACTGTGCTTCTGATCGATTTAGGACATGTTGCATCTATAACCAACAGACAAATATGCTGCTAGTACACAGTCTTCACATAATGTAATCTTAGTTTGGGTCAACTTTTGTGTTACGTAAAAGCAACAGATGCACAGATGTGTTGAAAATTACAACCATAGTAACAGCGTGGCCATTTCACTGAATCAGACAATACCTGCTGTGATGTATGACTTTTTTTTTTCTAAATAGTAGAGCCAATGATTTCTAACTAATCAGCGATCTAAACTTTGTATATGCACTATGTTCACTACGTTTGGTGGATGCTTTTATCAGAAGTGCCTTATAGTATCAAGTGCAGACTTTGTTAAGATGAGTAAGCTCAGTGTGAATCTTAAGAATTTAATAATGCCAAGAAAGTAGTAGCACAACAATTGCATTTGAAATCCTTATTTTTAAAATAAAGAAGAATATTTCTTAGGTGTCATTATATCTTGGAATTTAGTCATATTCTTAATACCAGTGGGTGAGATTTAAAGTGAACATTATATTAACATACTGCAGATCCTATACCGTGCTGTAGGCAGCATTTCTAAATAAAAAGAAAATAATAAAGAGCTGTTTTATTTGTTCAAAAATCTACTGTGAACTAGCAGCAAAGTTGTTCTACAACACTGGTTCTCAACCTTTTTGGATGAAGCAATGCGTCCTTGTAAACTCCATGTGTAAACAAACCAGATGGTTCACTTTGACCTGGAAGGGATGATTTTTATTTTCACTGCCAATCAGTTTGACTTAAATTATGCAACTACTTCTGTATATTACGAGGAAAAACAATTACAAACATGACAGCATATTAGAAATATATTTTACACATCACAAGTTACAGTTCAAATTGTCTGCAGGTGTCCTGACCCACGGGTTGAGAACCAGTGACCTAGAGCAGTGGTTCTCATTGTGTGGTCCGGGGACCCCTATGGGTCCTTGAGGGGTTTCCAGAGGGTCCCCAGCAAAAAGGGGAATAATTTATTTTCAATAATCCATAAGTAATACAGTGAAAGAACTATTTTGATTATGGGTTTCATATACTTTCTGTAATAAAACATCTAAACGCCAAAATCCTGGGACAAAATCTTGTTTTCAGTTTAGGGGTCCTTGATGTAAAAAAAAGTTTGAGAACCACTAATCTAGATTAACATCTTGCATTCCATAAAATCACTTTCTCAAAAAGGGTTCTGAAAAAGCTGAAACCGCTTAGCTTTGTTGAGCTGATCACACATGAAGCGTGTGGCTAATACTAGCTGTATGCAATTAGTTTTTTGGCCCTTTGTAGTTTTACGTACCTTAATATACAAACTGTTTAACTCACAGAGATGAAGAAAAAAAGTGTTTTTCCAAATACAAAAAA